AAGAAAATAATCAACATATTTAATTTAATGCGACCAATCAAAACTGCACATTCAGTTGTTGTTATTTAGTTATGAACTTATTAAAAGATCTGAAATAAACATCATTTATTCTTACACGTAAAAGTAATAAAGTGCTTAGAATTTTGTGTAGCACTAAAGAAAATAATGATTAAGTGACAGAATATCAACAAAGTAAGTTAGCGTAAATTTTTAGATTGGTATCTAACCTCAGTTAGATAACCAATGAAAACCAGGAAGAAACGGTCAATCAGTTTTTTTTTATGTATGAAACTTTTAAGAAGTCTGCATTCACAACTTAACCAATAGTTGAACCTTAGTTTTAACCTTAACCTTAACCTTTGATTACCGACTGAGTGGTTTAAAGTTTGGGTGCTCAAGACGAAACTTGCAAATCCTTGGTTCGAGCTCTAGTTGAGTACTGGACAAGTATCAATAGGATTAGACGTAAAAACATAAAATTATGGATGTTGTTAAGGTCAAACTATCATAGCATAATCATATATCAGCGCTGGTAGTGAATAGTGAAGAACTAATTAATATTTTAGTACAAGATGACACAATAACTAGAACAGAATAAAAACAAAGATTGAACTTTCATCAAAAGTCATAATAAAATGATAAATACATGGATGAAAACTACTTTCCTTCAATATACTCAAATTAGGTAACCTAATTACAGTTTGAATTAATTATTTAAGAGAAATAGTCAGTTTTAATTAAAATGTATCTTTTGAAATTATAGCACATAAGTTTATGATTGTTAATAAAAACAAATGTAAAAGACGAAATAATCAGGATTCATTAAAACTTGAGTTATTTTATACTTCAAAATGGCTAAACAAATATTTTCAGTAATAACAAATTTGGCGTTCCTCTTTTCCGCTCCCCTTCACGATTCCAAGTTAGGGCTTGCAACGTGATGCAGTTTGGTGATTTCCTCAATGTATGTCCTATTCACTTCCATCGTCTTTTCTTAATTTCTTATCCAGATGGAAGCTGGTATGTCCTCTCCCACAGTAGGCTGTTGCTGATGGTATCCGGCCAATGGATGTTGAGTATCTTGCGTAGACAACCACTTATAAATACTTGTACCTTCGTGATGGTGGTTGCAGTAGTTCTCCACTTTTCAGCTCCGTACAGTAGAACTGACTGTCTTGACGTTCGTATTGAAGATTCTGAATTTGATATTGGTTGAAAGTTGTTTTGAGTTCCATATATTCTTCAATTGAAAGAAATGCTGTCCTTGCTTTGCCAATCTTCACCTTTACGTCTGCATCTGAACTTCCTTGTTCATCGATGATGCTTCCCAGGTATGTGAAGGATTCTACATCTTCCAAAGTTTCGCCATCACGTGTGATTGGATTGCTATTCTCCGCTTTGAATTTGAGGACCTTGGTTTTCCCCTTGTGTATGTTGAGGCCTACTGATGCAGAGACTGCTACTACACTGATTGTCTTTATCTGCATTTGTTCGTGTGTATGCGATAGGAGGCTTGGTCATCTGCGAAGTCCAAATCGTCTAATTGATTTTGAGCTGTCCATTGTATTCCGTGTTTTGCTTCAGATGTCGAGGTCTTCATAATCCAGTCGACCACCAGAAGAAAGAGGAAGGGAGAGAGTAGACAGCCTTGTCTCACTCCGGTCTTTACTTGGAATGCATCTGTCAGTTGTCCTCCGTGCACGACTTTGCACTGTAGTCCGTCGTATGAGTTCCCGATAATATTGACAATCTTCTCAGGAACCCTCTAGTGTCGAAGTAGTTTGCATAACGTTCTCCCATCTACACCGTCGAATGCCTTTTCATAATCAATGGAGTTGATGTATATTGACGAGTTCCACTCAACTGATTGTCCGACGATGATCCGTAGTGTTGCAATTCGGTCTGTGCACGACCGATCCTTACAGAATCCAGCCTGTTGATCTCGAAGTTGGGCGTCTACTGTGTCTTTCATCCGGTTCAGCAAAACTCTGTTAAAGACTTTTCCTGGTACTGACAGTAGTGTAATGCCTCTGTAGTTTTCACACTTGCTCAGATCTCCTTTCTTTGGAATCTTGACGAGGTGTCCTTCTTTCCAGTCCATCGGCACTTGTTCCTCCTCCCAAATCTTTTTGAATAGAAGGTAAAGCATGTTTGTAGTTACTTCGATGTCTGACTTCAGTGCTTCGGCTGGTGTATTGTCGGGTCCTGCTGCTTTCCCGCTCTTGATTTGTCTGATGGCCATTCTGATTTCTTCCGTCGTTCGTGGATTGACATCTATAGGAAGATCTATGTGTGCTGCTTCGATGTCCGGTGGATTCATTGGAGCCGGCCTATTCAAGAGTTCTTTGAAGTACTCTACTCATTTGTTCCTCTGTTGTTGATTTTCAGTGATTGGCCTGCCTTATTTGTCCTTGACCGGCCTCTCTGGTTTACTATATTTCCCTGCTAGTTTCTTCGTTGTATCGTAAAGCTGTTTCATATTTCTTCTCTTGCAGCTTTTTCCACCGTCGTTGCTAGTTCTTCCACGTATTTCTTCTTGTCGGCTCTAATGCTTGTCTTCATTTGCTTGTTTGCTACTATGTACTCGACTTTTGCTTGGCCGTTCTCTGCTCGTGTTCGGCTGTTGTTAATTGCTGTCTTCTTGTTCTTCCTTTCTTTGATCCTGTCCAGTGTTTCTATGGAGGTCCATTCCTTATGATGGTGCTACTTTAGACCCAGAACCTCTTGACACGTTGAAGTTTATGCTTCTTTGATACCTTTCCAGTTGTTATCCATAATAGTTTCTACTTCATTCAGTAGATCCTGTAAGGCTTGCAGCCTGTTGTTGAGAGTTATCTTGAATTCATTGAGTTTGTCAGTATCTCGAAGGAAGGCTGTATTGAACCATTGTAGTGCTGTTTGTCCACTTGTCCAGTTCTTCTTTAGCTTCAGTTTTAAATTGGCCACAACTAGGTGGTGATCTGAAGCTATGTCAGCTCCTCTCCTGGTTCTCACATCTTCCATTGTCCTTCGGAATTCTTTATTGATGCAGATATGATCTATCTGGTTCTCTGTAGTGTGGTCCGGTGAGATCCATGTAGCTTTGTGTATACGTTTGTGTGGAAATATTGTGCCTCCTATGACCAATTTGTTGAATGCACATAGATTTGCAAATCTTTCCCCATTTTTGTTTCTCTCCCCCAGTCAATCCATGTCGTCCCATGATATCTTCATATCCGGTGTTGTCTATTCCGACTTTGGCGTTTAAATCTCCCACCAGAATAGTGAGTTCCTTTCTTGGGGACTTCTCTGTGATTGATTGCAGCCGCTCGTAGAATTGATCTTAAATGTCGTCGTGGCTATCATTGGTGGGTGCATAACATTGGATAATATTCATTTTGATCCCCTCCTTCTTTGTTTTGAATGATGATGTGATGACTGTGGATCGGTGAGATTCCCATCCTACAAGTGCATTTCGTGCTATTTTGGACAGCATTAGAGCAACTCCCTGAGTGTGTGGAGCAATTTTCTCTTCGTGACCGGAGTATAGCAGCATCTCTCCCGTGTCTAGCCCTTGTTGTCCAGCTTGGGTCCAATGGATTTCGCTGATTCTCAGTACTGCCAAATTGTATCTCCTCATTTCCGTTGCTATTTGACTGGTTTTTCCGGTTTCCCACATTGTTCGGACGTTCCATGTACCTATGAAAATTGTTGCTCCGGTTGTTAGAAGGGGACTCGGCCTCGTGGCTTCCGAAAGAACTCGGCTTTCACCATGAGGCGTCAAATTTCTTCTAAACAAAGACCTAACTCCCAGGGCAGAGTTAAATGGTTTGAATTATTTTTTTTGGTTAGCACCTTTTTAGCGAGTTAGTTTTCTACGTGATGGGTCGCTAACCTCATGCCCAACCTTCATTTCCCCGGGTCTGGGACCGACAGTAACTCCAGAAGAGCTACAGGAGGAGTTTTGATTATGTAAGCTACTCTTTTATGAACAAATATTGTCAAGGTGTATAAAAGTATAAGTAATCACCTAACTAATGATCCTATGCTTTCATTCGTTCCCTAGATTATATTAGTCATGACACGAATTACACCTTGCCAATACAAAATCTTCACGAAACTATCTGAATTAATTAAATGATTCAGTGACTATTCATCTTGGCTGAATGCATAAAATATATAAGTGAAACGTTAAATAAATGCTAATCTTTACCTTTATGAATTATGTCATTCAAACTAGTAATCCGATCAGTTTATCACAGAAACTTGAATATTAATACTATTACATTTGCATATATTTTTCTCTTATCAGTTCAACATTGATACATTTGATAATTACTGCATCAGCAGATATGATATTTAATTCTGCTTAAAAAAGTGTACTCAGATCAATAATAAAAACTTATATTTTGTAGATTAGATATTTCATTTGACGTTTGCTACTGAAATGCATACTTATTAACCATATTAAAGCTTTATGTTAATAGAAACTTTGATTGATTGGTTACAACTGATCTTTTCAACTGATACATTATCACTAGAAAAATCTTGAACAGATTTCACATGAATGATATCAAGATAAATTGTGATATTTTTTATTTGTACAGAATTAAATGAATAATTTGATCAACTTGATTTTTGATATAGCAATTATCATTTTTAGCTGCTTAATCAGTATCGCAGATGCTGTATGAAAACTAAGACTGCTTTCAAATTAAGTTGATAAAAATGTTTTGCTTAGATGTTATACTTAAGTGAGTAGTTATATCGTCAAAATCAAGATTTTATCTCGACAGATATAATCTGTATTTAATGTTTGCGATGATTCATTATATCTTGTGACTTTCAAGATTTTCTAATCAGTTTTTATTATTTTAAATAATAAGTGGATAAGATTAGTGTCAGCGTCATTCAAAGATGCTTACTTGTTAAACATACTATTTATCTACGAGGTATGGATCCCATCGTTTAAAAGCCTTTCTGAGTTGTCATATAAAAACTCAAAGTCATAGTCAGCGGTAATTTTATATATACACGGTTATATTAATATTATATTTCATTTTAACTAAGTTTCGCCAAATGAAAAGTGTAAGTTACACTCCATCAACAACTGATGAATAAGAACACGTAAGTACATTGTAAACATTATGACAAAAATTAAAACTGGTTCACTTCAAAATGTAGTAGAATTTTTCAACACCAAGTGCTTTGTATTTAAAATAATTCTGAATTTAATTTTTACCGGAAAAATAGGATTAAAATATGAAACAGAGAAAATGTTAGATACATTAGGATGTTTGGGTGGTGAAACACTTAGATTGAAATCAATCAATAAGGCTAATGAAGTAAAATCGATTAGCAGAAGTAAACAAAAAGAGGTCATTAATCAAACAACAAAATGTTTTCAACCAGTAACGAATAAACTTAATACAACAACCGAATCACAACTACAAAGTGAAATAGTTTAATATGGATAGTAAAAAAAGAAAAACCACTTCACCTAACAGATATTTGGCTCGCTAACATAGTTTCGAAGCTTTTTCCGATGCTGCTTTCCAATTGGCTAGTTAATCGCAGGTCGCTGAGATATTTGTACTAACCTATATTATACATTACGAAGTCCGTCAATGTTGTTTGGTTCCTGTTTGATAAAGGGGACAGATATCAAATTTTAAACTTCAGTTACTATTGGACAAAACCTTTTTAGTCAAACTAAATTACAGTTATATTAAGCACTTTAAGTATCATCCTTGGATTCAATAATTTGACATATATAAGTGGATTTATAAAAAACGTAGTCCACCCATACCAAAGTCGTACATATATGATAACTTGTTTTATGTAAGCTATTCGCTTAAGTAGAACACTAAAACAACAGTAGATGGTTTGTAGTATCAACAAAATTTAAAAAAACTCTAATATAATAGAATACAGAACCAATATGTTATGCTAGTTTTCTCCTCAATGATAGGAACTTAAAGGCTACAAATATGAGTTAAACGGGTTGTGATAACAAAACGCATTGTAATGTTCTCCTTGTCAATGTATATAATATTCAATGGAGTATTGATACCAACAAATCATGATGTATACTTTGATCAGTTTCAATTTCACTTTAGAAAGGACAAGTGACTTGTTAGCCTATATTCATCCTTGCATGATCCTGATAGTCTCTCAATTAATCCAACTTTCTTTTGAAAGAGTCAACAGTTAAACCTTCAATCACTTGTTAAGCTAATGAAGAATTCCACTTGTTGATGATTCGATAACAAAAGGCCAATCATCATCTGATAAGTAATTTGTTCTGATCTTATAAATATAAACATTATTCAACTATTATTATTCATAAAATCAAGGGATAGATTATTAGAAACAATTAAATCAATATCATTCAGTATGTTATATCATAAATATTTGATATAAAAATGTAAAACAGATCAAGTTTTATTTGAAATCATTTGTAATATAAACATTTTGTTTTTCAAAATTTCAACTAACCATTTAAACAAAATGTAAATTATTCATTTTGACTGTATAATTAATAGTTCTTTATAATAATATACAATGTATAAGTTTATTGTATTCATTCTATCAATTCATAAATACAATCAAGTATGTAATAGGCAAATACACATTTACACAGAAGATACATATTTAAATAGTACTTGAAAAATGTTTTTCTTTTCTTTTCATTACTTCCATTTTTCTTTTCTTTTTCTTTTCTTTTTTTCTACATGTATCACTAATATGATGAATGAATAATTTTCTTTTCAAATTTTTTTCATCACATGAAACTTGTAAAAACAACAATAAATCTAAATATTTTCTTCTGTATACACTTATATAACAACATCTTTTGTAGTGTTAAAATACATTCACTACTTAAAAAAGATCGAATTTAGTCTTTACTATTTCTAAAAGTTATATCAGTTATAAATCGTTTTAATAAAAGAAAACTATTTGGTTAAACACATGATTGTTAAAGTATATACATCAATCTTATGGTGATTAAGAGGTGTACACTATTTTTTGCCATGTAAAAGAATATACAATTTATAAGGTATACATGAACAATTAAGTTATTCGTATGTATTACTGATGTATAGTGATCCAGTATAAAAATATTTCAATGAAATTTTAAGTAATCATTTAGAATAAATAACTTGTATATTTAGTAAAACTATTCATTTTCTAACATACGAAAGTAATTAAGGGTTGATCTTATTGAAAAATTGTTATCATACTAATAGTGTTTTCTTTCTTCATTACGTTATGCAACTTTGTGTCCTTACAGTGATTGTATGCTTTTCATCTCCTAAGTGTTAAACTTGTTTATAGATCTCGTTATAATGTTGCTGTTGGTACAAGTTACCTGAGATTGTGAGTGTCATGTTTTGATGTTGAACGATTGGATGCAATTGGTTAGCATCTCTGCCCCAAGATTTTGTTTTAGTTCATATTCTTTAGTAAGGTGTGTTTGGAATTTCGAAGGATATAATGTTCAAGGTTTAAATCGAGACTACTTACTATCACAATCAGAGGCATCTGTACTTAGCTTATAGAATGTAAATGAATTACTAATGAACTGAAACTTCCACAACACTTCAGTCTTTACTATAGATCGAATCTTATCAATCTTACTGAATTTAAAGTCTTACACCTTTTACATAAATAGGCTTAGTAAATATCTGATTAAAATGAAATCATGAATACAAAATAATCAAACAGAGCTATTACACTATACAGAAATTTTCAACTAGAAATTCACTGTTATTGTTTCACTGGTATCATAAAAATTCTACTGACATCACCAGTATTAAGATGTCAATAGCATAAAATATAGAATTCTAAGATTATCTGACTTTGTTGCGTGAAAGTTTAAATTGACTGACTTGAACTGATCGTAATAATGTCTGCATTTCTGGAAATATTGAACATGAATATTGTTCACTGAAAGAATTTATATATATATATATATATATATATATATATATATATATATATATATCATTTCCGTGTGTAGGTATATGTGAAGGCCAAGTATCTGTAAACGTTTTTTATAGAAACTATCAGTAGGTTACGTTGCTTTATTATCAAATTACATTATTTTTAAACTAGAAAATGGCAAGTCATTGGTTTATAATAATGAAATTTATTTCGGAATACTTTCGATTAGCAGATAATTGGAATCAATCTGAAAGTTGAATCAGTTCGAACCTTGGTCGAAATAAGACTACAAATATACACGTTAGTATAATTCAAAAATGTGAAGTCGCCGGTTTTTTGCTCATGTTGAAACTAACATAGAACTTGTTAGCTAATGGTCATAGTTTGTAGTATATAAGTCAAAATATCTCCACCATTTGAACATTAAGTATTTATTTTGTTTTCGTAATGTAAATCCCATATTAAATGCAGGAATCGCTTTCGATAGTCTAATGACAGTTTTGAAAGAAGTTTTTATTGGTATATGAGTATCATATTTAGTAGAACATATTTTAATTATTAATGCGTGAGTGACGATAGTTAGCTATGTGATATCATGCAGACCGCATAAATATCCACTAGTGAAATGGTATAGTACATGTTTTCACAAGTTTTACGTAAGATACTTTCTCTTTAAAAACACTTAATAAATTAACCTGAAGTATCTGCATGATAAAAGCTATTACACAGTTGATGGGATTATTGTAAAGCTTTGACTTTTCTGATTTCCCCAAGTTTTACACACATTAACTTTGTAACTTTCACAAGTATACATTATATACGGACTGTGACAATAACTCGAAGAAGTGAAAATCGGTTAGTAGGCATAATGTTACAGCACTTCGCACTATTTAAGTTATTATTTATTTTTGTTTTTCACAAAAACGTATTTCATTTCGTACTAAATAATTTTTGATGGTTGAATTTTACGATGCTTTACGTTTCAATTGATTACTACATGATAACAAGAAAGATGAAAAAGCCAGTTGTTTATATTTCGTGCGACAGCCTAAGGAAACATTTGATTTTAGACAACATCTCCAGTAACTCCGTCTGTAGAATTCCTAGAGTTACTATTGGTCCAAAACCCGGATAAGGATGAAGGGTTGGACACAGAGTAAGCTACCACATACCATATAAGAGAAACATTTCTAAAAAACGATAACCAGAAAAAAATCATTTAAACCATTGAAACTCTCTCATGCGAGTCGAAAGATCTCCATTCAGAAGAATTATGGCACCTCATGGTGAAAGTCGATATTCTTCAAAAGTCACTAGGCCAGTGCTTCCTCTAACAACCAGATCAACAATTAATATGGGCATGTGGAATGTCCGCACAATGTAGGAGACTGGGAGTTCCAGTCGAATAGCTACGGAAATGAGAAAATACAATATGATAGTTCTCAGAATAAGGAAAACCAGTTGCACCTAAGCTAGATAGAAAAGTTTGGATTCGAGAGAGATGATGTACACTAGTCATCAAAAATAGAAACTTCGCACACTCAGGGAGTTGCACTGATGCTGTCCAATAAAGCACGAAAAGCATTTAAGGGTGAGAATCTAATGGACTCAGAATCATTAAAGTATCTTTCAAAATAAAGAAAGAGTAGATTATAATGAATGTTATTCAGTGAAGAAGATAAAGATCAGTTTCATGATAGTACAGGACAATCACTGAAATTCAAGAACAGAGGAACAGATGAGTAGAATACTTCGAGGAACTCTTCAATAGACCAGCTGCACTGAACCCACAGGACATCGAAGCAATACACACTGACTTTCCTATCAATGTCACTACACCAACTACGGACGAAATTAGGAAGGTACTTCATCAAACAAATCAAGAGTGGGAAAGCAGTAGGACTTGACAATATACCAGTCGAAGCACTGAAGTCACACATTGAAATAACTGCAAATATGCTTCATATCCTATTCAGAAAGATTTGGGAAGAAGAACAAGTGCCACTGACAGACTGGAAAGAACAATACCTCATCAAGATACGAAAGAATGTAGATCTAAACAAGTGTGACAATTAAAGAGGAATCACACTACTATCGGTACTAGAAACAGTTTTCATCAGAGTCTTGCTGAACCGCACAGCTTTCAGATCAGTAGATGGGACTCCGTATGGATTGGTCGTGCACAGATCGAATCGTGACACCACGGATCATTGTTGAGTAATCAGTTGAATGGAATTCATTAGTATACATCATCCTCCTTACCTATGAAAAACGTTTGATGGTGTGGATAGGACAGCATTATTGAACCTTCTTCGACATAATGGTGTGATTAGCTGAGAAGATTGTCAACATTGTACGGAATTCATACGACGGACTGCAATGCACGGTCATGAATGGAGTACAGCTGATAGATTGATTTCAGGTGAAGACTGGTATCAGACAAGACAGCTTACTTTCCCCCGTTTTCTTTCTTCTAGTGGTTGACTAAATTATGAAGGCTTCGACATTTGAAGGAAAGCACGGAATGCAATTAACAGCTTGGATGGAACTAGACGATTTGGACTTTACAAATGACCCCATACACAGCAACAAACGCATGTCAAGACAGCCAGTGAAGTGGTAGCAGTCTTTGGATCAGTAGGTCCCAACGCACATAAAGAAAAAGGTAAACCATTCCTGTTTTATGGAGCTGAAACTTGTAGAACTATAAAAACCATCATCAAAAAAGTACAGTTGTCTTCGCTAGATACTCTGATCGATTGGTTAAACATCATCAGCGACAACCTACTGTGACAAGACAAATCAAATTAAGACGCTAGAGGTGGATAGAATATGCACTACGGAAATCACCACACTGCATCACGAAGTAAGACATAACATAGAATGCTGAAAGGGAAAGAAAAGGAGGACGACCAAAGAACATATTGCATACGGAATTGGAAGCAGACAGAAAAAGAATGAATAGCAGCTGGGAAGAATTATCAAGGAAAGAGTTCAATGAAGAATTCCGATCGGTGACCTATGTTTCACAAGGACTAACAAACGTAAGTAAGAAAATAAGTAATCAATATATTCACCCTTAAATTGGTTAATGATTCAAGTACTTCAAATTTCTTACTTAAATTTTCATTTCATAATGGATTTTTAGTGACAATAATTGATATATTATTTATTTTTTCCTTACATTAACATACATGTGATTTGGCACTAACTTTTAAAATAAATAAATCATTGCCATTTGTAGTTATTTTTGACATAATGGTCAATAAAAAAGATAACTATATACGAAAATTAACATTTATCCATCCTGATAAGTTTATTTTACTGAATGTGTTCAAGTCAAAATGAATCATTGGTAAAACAGATCAAAGAAGAAAGACATTTAGAAAAGAGGTAATTAAAGAATAATAATTCACAAAGAAATAATTCAATGAAAATAAGTTAAGGTTTCATTCATGAATAAAAGAAGAGTTAAATTATATAGGTAATTAAAAAGGGATCAAAATTAAAATAGATAGATAGACAGATAGATAGATGAATAAATGGGTGCATACTCAAAAAATTTTTGCATGTTCTTTTTATTTTACTGTCTGTACTTTAATGATTCGCATTTGCTTTTGACAATCTTAGGTCATGGTATTTTCAATAGTGTTTTCAATGAACTTTTATTCTGTTACTGTATATAACGATTCATTATTTGGGTTTAAACTGATGGGTAGATTTGATTAATATGTGTAGCAGTGTATTTGTATGTACACGTGTATATATGACTTAACGTATAATTTTGCTTACTTACTTACGCCTGTTACTCCTAGTGGAGGAGCATAGGCCGGTCACCAGCACTCGCCATCCAACCCAATCCTGGGCAATCCTTTCCAGTTGCTATTCATCTTTTTAATGACTGCTTCTCATTCCCAACGTGGTGTGTTCTCGGTTTTGCTCTTTTCCGTTTCCATTATGGATTCTAATTTAGGGCTTGTCTCGTGATGTGGTTTGGTGATTTCTGAAATGTATGTCCTATCCACTTCCAACGTTTCTTCCTGATTTCCTCCTGGTATGTTCTCTCCCACAGTAGGCTGTTGCTGATGGCATCCGGCCAACGAATATCGAGTATCTTACGTAGATAATGGTTTATAAATACTTGTACCTTTTTGGTGATTCTAGTAGTAGTTCTCCACGTTTCAGCTCCGTACAGTAGAAATGCCTCGACGTTGGTATTGAAGATTCTCACTTTGATATTGGATTGCAGTCATTTGTTTTGAGTTCCATATGTTCTCCAATTGTAGGAATGCTGTCCTTGCTTTGTCAATCTTCGCCTTTACGTCTTCATCAGATCCTTCTTGTTCGTCGATGATGCCGTCAAGACAGGTACCTAAATGACCCCACATTTTCTCCTTCAAGTGGGATTGGATAGGTGTTCTCCGTGTTGTCTTTGAGGGTGTTGCTTCTTCTCTTGTGTATGTTGAGGCCTACTGATGCAGAAACTGCTGCTATATTGACTGTCTTTATTTGCATTTGCTCGTGTGCATGGGATAAGAGGGCTAGGTCATCTGCGAAGTCCAAATCGTCTAATTTCTCCTTATCCGTTTCACAGCTTGTTCCGTACACCTCGACGTTGACTGGTTCTTATTGACCTTAAATTTGTCATTGTTTACTTCTTTTCAGTAGTAGAAGTATTTTGTTGATATCACCTAGTAATGCCAAAATAACAATGGCTATGTAATATGTAATTCCTCACAATCTTTAATGCTTTCTATAAACAGTGAAAGTACTTGATTAACAAGGTTTAATTTGAGATTACTTTTTTTACGGTCATAACATGGTGTTTAGGAAATTATATTTGTATGTTACTTATCAACTAATATATATATGAACATTTTTCCATTTTATTTTGAAACGTACATATTACTTATAAAATATATGCATTACGGTTAGAATATTGTAGATGCTTTATTTCATGTACAACTAAATATTTAATACTGAACATAAAAATGTGGATTAGTTTGTTTATCGCAATAAATATATCGTTTCCATTGACTTTTGCATATATTTATATCAATGTACACTAATATACACTTCCAATTAATAAAACTTCATTTTATACAACTGAACTGGATATGACAAATTCAACTTTGCATATATGATTAATAGTACAATTGTAAATAAATGATAAATTATACATGATGAAAATATTCAACAAACTGATGAATTATAATGGAGTATAATATGTAAACTACCACCATTAAAATGTAGAAGTCAAGTACGACTTACGAGATTAATTGAATTGATTACTGTTACATCATATAACTACCAAAAAAAACATAAAGTACAAACGATAATCATAGACAGCGACTGGATTACACACTATTAAATCCTTCATGTCAAGTCATAGTAACCATGTTGACTAAGAAATCTTATATCAGATGAGTTTCAAAGCACTAATAATCAAATAAGTTCATAATAAGTAAATTACATATAACCACTATCAAGATGATTTCTAATATGAAGTTTCAATCACGGTGACAAAATAAGAATGTGGAGCATATAAAACAACAAGACTCTTCAACAATTCATCTAAAGTCCTTAAGTCAACATAAAACATAACCAGAACTAAAGTTCATTTGTATTCTCCCTCAAAAAAAAATGACTAGGTATAAGAAATCCAATGTAGTTACTTCGATCGAAAAACAGGATACTAGTAGGAAATAATAAAACATGCTCAGTTCATTGGAAAGAAAATACTTAAACGAAAAGTGAATGAAGTAGTAAGCATTTCAGATAAACACCCAACATATAGGAAACAATTATTCAATGACTGAAAGACAAGAAAAACCCAACAAATCAGGAAGATGATGGGATGGAGGTACATCCAGCTGACGAGTCCCAAATAGGACAAAACGTGCATCCTAATATCCCACTGCTAGCCACTATCCATCTTTGCTTAAAAATCAGGAAGATTACTAGAGATACGTTTTATGAGGGGGTGGCTCAATTGTCGGCGCATTCGACTTTACCTATTGCATGGTTGCAGCCCTCTCCAGTTACCTCGATATTTGCAAGCAAAGATTATCACTAGGTCTCAATAAAACAGCATAGGTTAAAACTCAGTAAAAGAATCTGTACCCAATAACTGAGAATCACTAAAACTTGCAACTGTTTCAACGATAAGAAAATAAATTATACAATAACACAATTTATTGTTCATTCAATTTTTTCTTTCCATTAGAATACAATTAAAAGGCACCAATACATACAGATGTAGACATGTACAACCTCATTCTGACTGGTCCAATCTTTGAAGAAGAAGAAAAAAGAAACACTTAAATTCATGTATATGCTACAAGAGTATTGTGCGTTACTCAATCTGCGTTTAAGACAAAGGTGAAAATCTGAAATCGAAGTCGTAAATGAACAATTTCACATATACAGTTTGATATATATATATATATAAAAGCGTAAAATGAATGTGAATGAATAAAAGGAAGATAATAATTGTGTCAACTAATCACAATATATATATATATATAAAATATGTGTGTATGTGTATACATCTGATCAAGCCGATTGTTCTCTCTATTTTAACTAATAAATAAAATAGCACAAAACTTAAAAGTTTAAAATGGGTTGTCCATAAATTCCAGATCAATGTAAATGAAATAGATGGCGGCAGTAATCAATTACATACAGACCGGGATGGGAAAAAGGTAACGAATAATAAAGATATGAAAAAAATGAATGGGAGATGTTACGATACTTCAGAGTAAAAAGGTTTTAAGAAATGGTATGTAGGGAAATTAACGCCCTAAGCATATATACATGTGTATACATATATATATTGCACCTTGAGCGAAATGAAATAAAACTTATCTACTGAAATTAATGGTGTTATTTGTGAATGAGAATAAAATGAAATAGAGGAAAACAAAAAGTCAAACAAAGGCAGATCACACAAATAACGACTGATTTTATTATATGAAACAAAAAATGTTTAAAAAGTACGAAACAGAAAAAGAAGATGTATCTTCATTAGTAGTATTGCACAAGTGTCATATATACATATATATATATATATATATATATATATATATATATATATATATATATATATATATATATATATATATTATATATATATATATATATATATATATCGAAAGATGGATTTGAACAAATATTCAAATAATTATTTTATTGGTGTGAACAATAATGTAAGTGAAATGTCGGATAAAACACGAAACAAGCAAAGAATAACTATACATATTCACTACATTATACTAACAAATAGATTTATATGGAAGCTTTTTCTTCAATGAAGAAATCAATTTAGACGGAAGTACAAATAAGAGTAAAGATAACATATTTACTGTTTTTTCTCATGTATACATGAATATATACATAAAACATTGTATATATATATACAATATAGATGTGTAAATTCACATGTATAAACAATAAAGGAATTAAAATATTCTTAGTAGAACTAGAAACATTTGAAGAAACACTATTAGTATTTTTGATTGAGCAGAAAGAATAAGTAATTGGCAATATATAATTGTTATTACACATAATACATTAATAAATTCACTTGTCCATATCTTCTTTTTTTAATTAATTGCTTGATAGGGAAAACAATAATTTTCAAAATATGAAACTATCAATTGAGTTATTCTGATGTACTATTATAATGATCATTAAATTAATAACAAAATTGATATTCATATTTTGGCACAAGGATTAACGAAAAAATAAAACGTATTACAGTGGTAATAATACAATATTATTGATTCTTAATAGAATGATTAATTTTTGGAGTAAAATCACTAGTAGATGAATGTGTTACATTTACTGTTGATGAACCAGAAGAGGTAGAAGATGTGACATTTGGCAATAGAACAGGTGTAATTAATTTATTTGGTGATGATGAATGATGATTTTCAATTGATTGGATATGAGGGTAGGTTTAAAACAATTTGAAACAGTACCAAATAGTTTATTTGAAGGATTTTGTTTCTTTTGGTATGTACCTAATAAAGTTTTATGTCCCATGGATAAACTCTGAACTGAGTATTTTGTAGATGGAATGTGAGCCAATTTATTTGTTAAGGGCAAAGATGAAATTCCTGGAGATGCAGAGGTTTGAGGTTGTGTAATTTCATCGGATGTGAACACATTTGAAACAGATGCAACTGTTTGAACAGAATTGTTAGTTATTGTTTTTGTTGTTGAAACACTTGAAGATGATGAAGTGACAGGGACATAAGGTGTTAAGGGTAAAGGAGCTGAAGAACTTGATTTTTCATTATTTTTCAACACAGGATTCAGTGAAGGACCACTAACTTCTGTAGGATCTAATTTAGTAACTACAGCAACAGCATCCGTAATAGTTAGGTATTGTGTTTTGTTCTCAGCAGATATTGATACAGTCAAGGTTGTAGATGATTCTTTCGAAACTTGTGGGTGATTATCTCCAATGGATACAGGCAGTGGAGAAGAAACATTTGGACGTCTTATATTCGAGATTACTGAACTGGCGTCATGGGATTTACCACTGCCAGTAGAAGTAGTAGCCGGGAATGTTGCGTGTGTAAAAAGTCCTGGAGGTAGACCAATTGTACCGATAGCAGCATAAGGCGTAGGAGGAATATTGTTTTTTAGAAAATCAACCACATTAGGTTGTGTTGCAAGTTTTTCGAAATAAGGAATCAAATCAAGTAGAACACGATCGTTCGCATCATCAAACCATGATGAGATCTGAACCTGTATGATGATGAAAGAGATAGCTTTTGAAAAACTTACTGAGAAATAACAATACAAAGAAATAACAGAAAAATAAATTTCATCATACAAAAACAGCAAAGAGTGAATTTATGAGAAACGACTAAACAATTTTTAGGATTTCAAGTTCCTGATGATACATACTAAATATATCTCAAAAAAATTAAACATTGACTCTCATTAGTGCAACAGAAATGAACAAGATAGATGAAATAGAGCAAGTGCGATCACAGTGATGAAGATGCATGCACTCTCTAAGTTCCCTTTATTTTGAATAACTTCCGTCTTAATATCGTTCAAATGAGAGCAATGTATGTTAAGCGACTAACTAGACATTTTTCGAACACGAATTTCGTTTTACAATCACCACAAAGGGTTGGTTGAACTCCCTCAACAAGAAGAAATAGGTCTATGATTTATCTGAAATAATATCTGGAAAGAAAAATGGAACATTGTAAAGAACGATCTAACTAGTTAATAATGACCCTCCCATTGTTAGCTAACGATTTTTAAACCCATACGACGCTAGTATGAGTACTAAAAAACCAACAAGAGTATGGCAATTCCGAGGTAACAGAAAATATATTAACTAGATGAGTTTGTCATAAACATTTTTTGAATTATAATCTAGAACCACTAATTAAAGTTTGAAGTAGAGTACATGAACGAAGAGTAACTCTTCAAAACAAGTCGCTTAACTGTTCCAGTAACCATCCTTGGAAATATCGAAACAGGCTGTAAAGTTTTAATCATTCTAGTACCCGTAACCACAGAACACCTAAAAAGAGCTCGGAAACGATGAACTAAATACGAATGTTAAAGTTTGAAAACAGATGCATAGCTACTTTTGTTTACGTCTAACGGGAAAACTAAAAAATGTCGAATAAATCATTAATTAAATTTGTTAATCCTAAAGTGCCCAGTGCCTCTGCTTAAATAATACTACCGTCAATACGCGTTGGTTCCCCGAAGAATTTACTTAGTTTAGCAGATATATCGTGCAACTGGTTGGTTAATCTAAAAGAGAGCTTCAGCACAATTGCAGAAAGAAACAGACAAAATGATAACCTATCTTGGAAAAATATAAAACGTCAAAGCATACTCTATGACAGATTCTTATTTATATAATGCTAAGAGTTTCCAATCACTGATTTTAAGCGTTTTGAGGATACTGATCGTGAAATATGTAGTGTAGTACATAGCTTAAACCATCAGTGATTATTTATCCGACTGGTTAACACAAAGCAAACTCACGTTACCTCAACTTATAATCTTCAACAACCGTAAGAAAAATTTGAAACTACCTTCGATGAAACTCTACGATCATCTGTTCATATAAAATCAAAACTCAAAGCAAGTGAGAGAACGAATAAGCGACATAACGTTCTATAAACAAACACTAAACAGCAACAGCTTCATTAGGAACAGAAAATCATTGGGATTTACTTACAGTTGTATGAAAGTCTTTTCAATCAGTCAAAGCCTGATGTTGATACAGCTTATGATGTACTACAAATAATCAAAAGCCAAAGTTGTCTCCAGAGTAAAGCAGAATGTTTAACATTTCGAATGCTGTACACTTTTGTTTATAATGCCTAAAAGACTCTCTACCTTGTCAGCCTAACACGATCAAAACGTCAAATACTCTAAGTATTTCTAAAATTCTATTTAAGAGATTTATTAATGACCAGGAAGTTAGCTGCTCGAACCACACTTCATGTGGCAAGTGTTTAGCAGTCACATAATAAAATGAACCATAAGGCAGTACATTTCATTTCAGAGTAGATAGCCGCTGAACTAAATACGCCAATTTTAGATAAGTAACTACTTTCACAAGTATAGTTATAAAACGTTTAGGAAGTGCTAATAATGCCCATTACCAAATATAATAGAAATTTTTAAATGCATGTGCGTAAACTATTCAGAGGAGGAGGAGTACCTGAAAAGGAAATTAGATTAGAGGTGTTCTTAGTGACCTGGGAGAGTGACCGCAGTGCCCAAGGGACAACTGCTTGAGGTCGGTCACACACGACCTTTTTATGGATAATTTTTGTGTTAGCTCCGTACTTTTTGGGACCTTACCGCCGGAGACGGATATCCGTGGGATAAGGTGAGGTGTGTATTTTTAGGAGCGACCTTTTCTAACCCCACCCCTCCTTGTAGGAAGGCAGCATCGCTGTCATGCTGGTTGTCTGAAGGAAACACCTTACTGCCATCACACCTCTGTACAGTCAGCAGTACGACTTTGCCTTCGGACCTTAGGTTTGTTGCTTTTAGTCTTACCGCTCTTCAACCGACCTGTCTGACATGGTGGACCTTGAGGAACGGTTGTTCCAGCTAGTATAGCTCGGTTGCTTCATCACGATAGGCAAGCCCGACCACCACGTCAAGGTAGCAACAACGGTCGGGGCGTAAAATATTAACGCTAACCTAATATAGTTCGTAAGTAATATTCATCGTATAAATACTGACTAAAATTATACCGTAAGTAGCACGTGGACCAAAACACTATTCCCATCTCTGGTGTTGTTTTTTTTTTAGCTAGATGGCTTAATTGAGAATCCTGCATGGTCGTTTTGGACCATTTGGTTTAGGAAACAAAGCACTGATATTAAAATTTCGTTAAACATCAAGGAATAAAACCGACATATAATAATAGTATTAATAAATTATATTTAGCTTACTGCATGACTTGCATGGAACATATAGGATGCTGGTGAATTATCCAAAATAACAACTTGGTTGATTGGTCTGCCTAAGTGACTAAGATCCTTTACATAATTACCTCGATGATATACACAAGATTCTCTAAATAACCGGTATCGGAAAGCATGCCATTTATCAATGAAGTCTGCAACTGGATCAGCATACTAAATGAATATTATGTAACAAGAGAAACAGTAATAAAATTTATCACATGTACACATAAACCAACAAATATTTACGTAACAGACTTTACTGGTAAATTCAAGTATTCCGTCATCTATTAGCATTTATTGTCATATTTGTGTGCAGCTGGGATACTGTCACGGTGCACATACAGGAGCAGGTGATCTTCATGAGGAGACACTCCCCAAGCCTTTGACTAAAGGGTTTACTTCACACGGTAAGAGCAGAACGTCAGAAGATTGGATCCCGCAGTGCCTGACGACCAAACATAGGTTCATACACCATTCATTCCCTCAAGATCCCGGAGCCCATATGCGCTATTAGATTGGAGTCAGAGTTCTCCAACTCCCCCAGGTGGATCCTCTCTCTAAGTTTAAAGTAAGACGTTCGCTTTCAGTCCTCTCACTCCCCTAAAAAACACGCTTCCCCGACAGATGTAGAAAAGTGTCCATAGGAGAGGATTTTGAAAGTGGAACCGGACTCTTCCCGGCCCGTATCGACTAATCTACCTGACGAGGCGGATCTTAAGGAACTCCAACTCCTGAAGCGTTACAAGTTATCAAGGTCAGACGACTTACTCCTGGATCCTCTTTAAAGAGAATGGTGAACTTCTGGTTAGGGGACTGGTTGGGTTATTTAGAAAGGTTTAAGAGTTAGTGTTCCAGATTCGTGTAATGAAGTGGGAGCAGAAACTGTCGGGAGATAAATCTAATTCTGATATCATCCAAGTACAGCATTTACTTGCACCATTTAAATCCAAGGTACATTTATAAGACTGACCATGGCATTCGCCCACACTCTTTGTGACGGCCATTTAGAAGTAGTCGAAAAGTCCGTGCATTTGGGTACTTGTGCGAGTACTGGTGGTGGTATGGCTAATGAGATAAATCTATGCATAGTGGGAGTGAGGGTGGCTTATGCCGAACTGGGTCATCGTTGGTACCATCACTAGGTCAGTCTGGGTCCAAAATGTTGGGTTTACAACACAACAGGGACAGGAGTTTTGCTATATGCTTATGAAAACTGGTCCCTTCGATTTATGGATTTTTAGCGATTCTCCGAGTTCGACGATAGTTGTCTTCGAGTGATCGATAATATCAAGTGGCAAAACGATTTTACTAATGCTGAGGTTTGGGCGCAGCAGCCATAACTTAGTTACTGTCACCAACTTAAAACATCAGCTTCGGTGGCTTGTGCTTGTGTTACGAATGTCATTCCAGTGGCATACGCACAGTATAATATTTGTGGACGCTGAGAATGGGTGGAAAAGGCAGAGGTGGTCAGTTTATGAAATGGAGTCGTGGTATGAGATAAAGCTGCATAGGACGAATCCGGTTGTAGTTTACTTTGAAACTGTTCATAAGTGAGAGGAACTCCTTTAAATGGAAGAATTCTTCCTAAATGTACTGTACTGTGTATCCCTACTGTAACCGATTCCCGTCCACTTATTTTAATTTACTAATTTGTTTTGATTATACTTCCTTCTCCTCCATATATTTCTCCACAATTTCATTTCCTTACTCGTGTGGAGAATATTATTTTGGTCCCCAGCTGTGCTAATACTTATGTATTTCGTCACACACCAGACCACAAAAGCTGGTGAGACTTCCAAGATAAGTGAAGCGATCGACACGCTCAACTACTTCGCCCCCTATTATTAGTTCGGGTGTCGATGCAACCCAATCCTGAAGTAACATTTTGCATTTCGAGGGGGAAAATCGCATGTCGAACATGCTTGCATTGTTGCTTAGAGTGGTCAGAAGACTCTGCATTTTGTCAGCGTCTTCACCAAATAGAACTATGTCGTCGGCATATTCGAGGTCAAAAAGTGAATCTCTCGATAGAAGTTCAACCCTTGCAAATTTAGATGAGGAAAGTGTCATCTCCAAAAGCACGTCAATGACAAAGTGAAACAAGAATGGAAAGAGTGGACAGCCCTGACGAACACCACTCGAGGTAATCAATTCTGATGACAGTTCGCCATAAGCCTTTATAAGGTTAATGTACTTCTTTGGTACTTCTTTCAGTGACAAACACTGCTATAGAACCTCACGATCAACAGAGTCGAATGCCGCCTTAAGGTCGAGATATACTACTACTGTGGGGCGTCTGAATGTGTGTCTAGGTTCTAGGACCTGACATAGTGTAAATATTTGGTCTATACAACCACGTCCAGGTCAAAAACCAGCCTGGTTTTCTCTAGTCTGTTCTTCACAAGCTTTGGTTAGGCGTCGAAATATTATTGGAGCTAATATTTTAGACACTATGTTAGTCAGACTGATTCCTCTGTGATTATCACAAGAGGACTTTCGTCCTTTCTTATAGACTGACACAACCAGTGGTTGAGACCAGTCAGATGGGATTACGTCGTTCCTAAATTCTACCTAAGACCTCAGTTAATCTCACTGCTAATACTGAACCATCATCCATAAAAATCTCAGGAGTAAATCTGTCAGGGCCTGTTGCT